ATAACCGGTCTTGCCGTTAACTAGAGAAAGAAACAATCAGTTCATCGCTTACCTGTGATGGGAATCGATTGACCTTTCTTCTTTTTGTCAAGTCCAGTTTGAAGTTCACCCATTGAGCAACCAACATTGTCAGGGTTTATAATGTTGAAAAATCACAACGAACAGGCCTGTTTGTGATGTGAAAAAAGTGAGACTCCAAACTATTTATTTCCTTTTGGGTCTTCTGCATCTCACTTTTTACGCAAGACCAACATAAAACCTACACGTCTATCATACCTAATCTTGTTCAATTCGTCAGTCATACGTGTTCTTAGCATACGACTGAGGTAGAATTTGAGTACGACGTGGTCTTTAGACTGGTTTTGTGCACCGAACCATTTCGTTCAACTTAATGTGAGGTCTTAGCGTGAGACGGAATGGGAGGCTCCTAGCAACTGGACGTTTTTAAAGTTGGATTGCAGCTGTACCTCCCAAAGAATCAATCGACTATTGCACGTCTTCCGGGTATCTTCAAAGGTCATTAGGTTTAGAGCGCTCGACGTGTTTAAACCGAGGGACAGCATATTCTCCCAGTGTAACGGTTTGGAACTAAGCCTTAGAGTGTAAGGGTTTGGAACAAGCCTTGGAAGGGTGCTCCTCCTGGATTCGTAGGCGATCTTCGTTCTCTCCGAGGGGACTTCTCCCCATTCCAGACTTAGCCCTAACAGCTCATTAGCTAAATAATTCATTCATGGATGTTTACGTCATGGAACCACGAAACGTGTATCGGATAAAAACCAGCAGAAACAAAAGCGGAATGAAGCTGGTGGCAGTTCGTAACTTTAATGGACGCCTAGAGCCAAGCAGGCCTTAGAGCAGACTGTGGACCGCAATACCCCTTTCTACAGATACGGGGAAGCCAAGAAGAAGAGCTAAAACCCTAAACTCATTGTTTCTGGCTTTTTCGCGCAATAATGTCCTTACGGCAAACTTGGAAGACTGCTGGATAAGCAGGCTGTTATCTATGGTAAAATTTATGGCCCGGCAACTTTAGAGAAGTCTTCTTCAGCAAGAGAGTCTGTCCTAGGATGTTTTTGAATAGTTTCACAGAGCCTTAACCCTCTAAGCGACCATTTTTTGAATTTGCAATTCTCAAGTCGAATTCAGTAAGGCAGTAATAGTTTGCGATCGCTGTCTGGTGTATGAAATTACGACTAAAGATGCATTTGTTTTTTTTTCTCGCAACAGGGAATCCGGAATGAAGCGCGGCCCATTGGTTAATGTTCACCATTACAGATAGCCACACGTAAAGCTCTTACCGTCTGACTTTTTTTTTCGAAGGACATCTACCCAACAATGGGTTGATTTGTTCTACATCTTACTAAAACTGTAGCTCATAGTACACGGCACATGCGAGTCTAAAAATCAACCCGAATGAAAAAAAGGTAAAGGGAATTATAACCGAATGACAATTTTATTAATAAATTATTGTTTTATTTAATAAATTGATGATGTTGGTTATGCTAAAAGATCGGTTGACAAAGGTTTCACTACATCGCCGCGTGTTGGACAGATGCAAATGAATGCTCTCTAACATTTGAGAATGTGCGATAGCGCCAAATGGATCACTGTTATATTGACAGTGGCGCGGTACACATACGTCCCGCATTTTCACATTAAGCCCTCTCTTGTTCCAAAACTGACTATGTTTACCAATGTATACGGCAGATAGTGCACTTATTACCAATAACAATGTTCCTGGTGAAAAATCACTTTGATTAGGGCAAGGATGCAAAATCCTTTTAGAACGTGCACATCACGGTAATTCTTTAATCTTTTAATTACAGGTCCTTTCACTGACATCGTCAATGCCAATTTGCAGTTGAAAAATCCAACCGAAAAACATGTTTGTTTCAAAGTGAAAACCACTGCACCAAAGCAGTACTGTGTTCGCCCCAACTCGGGTAAGTATTTGCTAAGCAGACTATGAATTCTCCGATCTAGCACTTTTCTCACAATCGCTCCATGTAATTGGCAGCAATGTGATGATTTTGCAGGTATTTTACCACCCAATGCCTCGAAAACTATTACGGTCATGCTGCAACCGATGGATGGGGTTCCTTCCGATGTTGGTCGTCACAAGTTCATGGTGCAGACCTGCTTCTGTGCTTCGGCCGATGTTGATCTCGACAATATTCTGGAAGGTGTGCATGGAATTCTTATTTAGCAACTTGTTCGATAAGTGGTTTTGCTTTATGAAAGGTTTCTACAGGCGAAATAAGGACCATTTTTCTTGGTTGCCATTTTGGGTGTGTGCGGTTTTTTTAGCGAGCACTCTGACGAAAGAAGTTGAAAATGAATAATGCGAAAATAACGAGTAAAGTTGCCTGGGCGTTCTATTTTTGGTATGCCCCACGCATTCGTATTTACTACAGTCGGCAACAACACGCGTGTGCTAGCAACTTTAGCTTTCGTTTTTCAAGAAATCGGTTCAGATCAACTGATCAAGAGGAAACCAAAGTTTGGATGTTAGAACGAGCTTTCGGATCCTATCAGAAATCCGGACCAGCGTGCGCTAGAGGCACGATTTTACTCATCAATATTAGATCTACATGGAACTGGATTCAGTAGATTTTTCCAAAGAAGTACGTGGACTTCATCGTAATGAAGGGGAGGGGAATGTTCTATTTGTCGGTGCTTCTTCAAAAAGTATGTGTAGGTAGAGCGTATTCGTGCACGGTTTCGTTCTTGTGGGTGAGAAGGATACGTGCTTGCTGCGGATATAGCCTGGATTAGATGCACTCTGTATTCGCTTCAGAATCTTTGGCTTAGCGAACAGACCGTCCTAAGTAGCTTCAAAATCAATATGCCATTGATTTGTACGTTTTAAGAGCTCAAGCGTGTCGAAGATGTCTTAAAGAGAGATGAAAAAGCTGGAGAATTCACTGAGTAACCTGAAGGCGACGTCAACACTTATCACACATCACATATATTATCATATAATTGCTGCTTGCTTGCAAAGTATTGTCAGGTGTAATAAATTTACAGGTTTGATCAGAGTCTGTTTAGACACTCCCTCCTAATGAACTAATGTACAGCAAGCTGATGGTCGTTTTCCAACAGCGACAGTCCGATCCTTCTGCAGCGGGTAAAGAAGAAGCACCATCTTCGGTGGCATACAACAGGTAATTTATTGAACTAAGGCAGCCATTATTCGCCAGAATTGATGATGTTTCAGCCCGTTGAACACCTCACATGCCGGAGCTACTGTTTCTTCTGGAGGAAATATAGTAACTGTAAGTTTTACAGCCCATTCCATTCTGACAGGGTTTCGTAATGCAATCATATTTGTCTTAAATCATATTTTAATTCCTGCTGATGTAGTCGTAAAATTCGAAGAATAGCTTACTGTATTTTTGATTAAAAAACTGACTTGTACATCGGCTGGCCCCGCAAGTCATTGTATAGGCCACATCGCATTCAAACGCCACTACGAATGTACAAATGGAAGTAGAATGCGTGCCGCATCCCAAAAAGGGATTGATCAACGGCAAATGCTTTATCCTTTTTTACCTTACTGTATGCATAGGAATAAGCGTCATTCGCCAGTTTTGTTGATGGAGACATACTGATAAATTTTTTTCCAGGAGTTGGAAGAGAAGCTGAAAAGCGAGAAGGAGTTGCGAATGCGATTGGAGAAAGATCGTGCGGCTATGCAGCAAGAAATCGATGAGCTCTTCAGTGTCAGTGTTTGATTTGCTTGATTTTTAGATTTTTAAAGTTCCGCTGAGTTGACCCTGGATTCGAGGGCGCATATTTTGATTCAAACAGAAATTTTTCCATCAAAATGAGAGCCATCGCAGTCTCAATATATTCCCTACAAAATGCATGTTGGACAAAAACAGTTGTTCGAAGTGCTGGAGTTCTGGCATTTTTCTGAAATAACTTCTAGCAGTGTTCTAGAAATCATTTCAGAAATAAGGCATTTAATTAGAGCTAACAAAATCGGTGGAGACCTGGAACAATCCAGTAGAATGGCGTGAATCAGTCTACGTCGAAAAGCGAGTGTTAAGATCGCCCCAATCGCTGTACTTGCGAAACAGTCGGTCCTGCATGGCATTCACTGGATCATACATCATGGGTCATACAGTTGAAGCCTTTGGTGAAAAAGGTTCGGGCAAAGATTACCGGATTAGAGGGGAAATCCAAGTCGGGAACTCGTGGATTGGTACTTATGTGAAGTTTGAGGGGTAGTCATAGGACTGACAGAGTCCTCACTGAAATACTTTGACGGGGAACTCGTCATTGTTTAGGGGACTTGAAGGGTTTTACTGTCACATAAGCAGTCTTTTTTCCAAGCAGGTTTTGATGTTTAGAAGCAATAAATTGAAAGCAATGGTTTCCCAAGAAAAGAATTCCGGAAATGTGTAGTTCTTGTCCACGATGATATTCCTGTTCTTAGTACGCTTCTGGTGGAAAAAAAGTAAATTAGGTCATTTTGAAGTACTTTGCTTTGCTATGCTCGAATACGCACTTTGCTCCGCCTTAACATGGACTCACCACTCCCGGCGTGCGTTTGGAGCGCTACCTCCAGAAACAAGGGTTGTGCTCCATACCCAGTTCGGGGCTGGTATCCAGACTAAGTTAAGAAATTATATATGCAAATTCCACGCGTTTGCATCATTTCATATACCATTGCATCTGATCTGCTAGACAATGTTTCCTCTTCCACCTTAATTGCAGACACGTTGAATTTATGCTCATGACCTGGGAGGTCCAGTCTGCGAAAATTTGCCGAACCCACAGTTGCTCTCATTCTATTTTCATCGAGAAATCTATTAATGATGTAGCGTTTGCATATTAATCTCTTCTAAATGCTTCGCCATCAGTTCGCCGGAGAGCTTTCCCATGTTTTATTTTTCTAATTTGTTTTTCCTAGTTGAACCGCGGCGGTTTTTGAACTGTAATTTTCCTCTGGGATCCCAGCGTATAATATTAAGCGACCTATCAATTGGTAGATCTTTTCCTGCTCAATTCAGTTTTTGTGATGGTTTAAGTCGAATTTTAGACCCACGCAGAAGGCGTTCACTCCACGAAAGTGACCTCATTTCTCAAAAGAAATTCCTATGGGAAATGGGAAAATCACGCAGGCGTGCAGTTCAAACCGTGTCACGACTTTTTTTTTTACATTCCATTAGTTTTCCATCGCTCGATCTTGATTTTGACGAAATAGTGCTTAACC